CACTTGAAGAAATAACGGGTTTATGCTTTTGAAAAACCCTCTTTAGAAGGACTGTAGAACACCAAGGAGGCAAAATTTTTTTTAAACTATTGCATTTAAACTCAAAAAATCTTGTTTCAGCAGAGATCTGGTTACATTCAGAGAACAGATTTTTTCCAGATTTCCTTTCACACAAGAAAATACCATGTCTAGTACTGGCATTTAAAGAATGAAAAACTAAAAATCCAGAGTCAAAATTATCTAATTCAAGAACTGAGTAAGAGAAGAATATCTGAAGGTTTGAGTCTAAATTTACAGCTAATGTGCACTTACCAATATTCACAAATGAAGCAAGAGGCACACCACAGTTTGTAACTATACTTTAGACATGTGAATATTTGGGGACTCTTAACTGTAGTAGCACCAATAGGAAACATTTCTAATGGTCAGGATTCAATTTTACTGTAAGATCTTATCAACAAGAAGAGTTTCCACATGTCTTCTGGATGATTGCTTTGCAAATTGTAAAAGTTATCTCATTTGTATGACAAATAACTAGCAGGGATTTAATCATATCAAGCAATTTTAGAGAAAATTGAAAATTAACATGTACAATGAATGCATTCTCCCTGTGCAATTAGACAATAATTAAACGCTTGGTAGTAGCAAAACATTAGGAAAAAATGTTGAAAAACAAACAATAATGCAAGAAGCGACTTGTCTAACTATACAACTTCACCAGCAATAACATTGAGAGCTTCCATTTTTTTGTGGCAAGAGACAGAACAATTAACAGAATACCTTCACTAGGACACTTTCTAGGAAGGGGGGTGGGGGTGAAAGAAAAAGATGGCAGTATTCTCGGACTTCACTATAAGAAAAAGTAACAAAAGATGCTTAAAAAATTCCTGCAAGACTTTTTGAATAAATAAAATAAACGTGTTTTTTTAATAGATTCCTCATCTCACTGCAAGTCATCATAGACAAGTTTCACTCTTTCTTAACAAGGAATGAGGTGTAAGTCAGGATTTTCTACTTTTGTCAATAAAATTATCACCAACATCTAGAATATCACAAGTGCTTCCATAAAAACATGAATTTCATAACATTCATTTCACAATTTGTTGATAAGGATTCACCTTCTAGTTCAAGAGAATCCTGAACACAGGACTGTTTTTTAAATAAAAGTTAGTAATATCTTTGTAAAGGTGATCCTAATTAAGCACTGTTTACAGCTGCCACTTTACAACAGAGGAACTGACCAAGACATAGGCTTCATCCAGAGCCATCCAAGTGCCACCCTGAATTTATAGCAGCACCTATACAGGAAGAGGTCAGCATAAGCACCAGGCCAAGGCTCTTGCATCCACAGCAAGGATGCTTCCAATCAGGTTGTTTCCTCAGTGAAACTCAAACGTGAATTTAAGAATAAGCATAGTTTTAGGCTAAAAATGTCCTAGCTTCAAATAAGGTAACTCCCAGTTTATACCCCAAAAAATAGTTCTGAATGAGTGTATATATATGACTGAAATCACAGTTCCAAGGTAAAACAAACACAGAACAATATATTTTCTGCATAAGCTCTAGGGATGAGGGGGAAGCATCCTTCTACTAACATGAATCACAACAATTATGCATGTTTCTTACCTTTTTTTTCTATGAAAAGTTGGTGAAGTGTTTATCAAGGTCCCTCCCAGCTAGCATCAAAAGCATGAAGTGCCTAGGTCCAGAGTCTCCCACATGCATTTAATTTTTGTCTCATCCTCTTCTACTGGAAATCTTTGACCATTACAGAGTCCGGACACCTCTACAACTATAAAATATAAAAGAAATACCTGGGCCCCCCAACAGTGTCCTCTTCAAAGAGATAGCAGAGAGATGCTCATAGGTATGCCATGCCTATGCAGATAAATGTTGGTTAAAAATGAAACTGTCATCCAGCAGAGGAATCAGATACAAATTTTCATTTTAAACACTTCTGGTCTAAGCTAAGGTCTTACAGAGCTTTAAAATAACAATCTTCAACACTAGATAAAATAACCCTTCCAATTCACTATTGGTATGGTATCATACTATGCATATGCATAGTATGTACATAGTCTGCATGGGCTGACACAGCCACTAAGAATGAAGGGCCAGCCTCTCCAGTAGATAGAGCAAAATGCCTGACGTAGTCAAGAGGAGCTCCAAGTGCTTAAGAAATTTGGTTAGAATACCATTTTAACACCTGATCTGAACTCATCTACATTGCTGTAGGCTTGGTATCAGCATTAATGAGTTTACTAGGCAGTTACAAAACTGCAGTTCACAGAATAGTTGAGGTCAAAAGGGACCTCTGGAGGTCATCTTGTACAATTCCTGGTTCAGACAGAGTCACCTACAGCAGGCTGCCCAGGATGACCTCCAGATGACTTTTGAATATGTCCAAGGATGGAGATTCTACAGCCTCTCTGGGCAATCTGTTCCAGTACTCATCACCTTCACGTTTTAAAGAAAAATTAAAAAAAAAAAAAAAGTGTTTCCTTACGTTCAGAAGTCTGTACTAACAAAGTCCATCCACACTATTGTTCTTCCTAAGAAAAACAGTTTCCCAAGAAAGACACTGGGAATTTTGGCAGGAAAAAGAAAATCTGAAAACTCTTCTATCAAATCTAGGAAGCTAAGTCTATTGGTACATGCCACTGCCATGTAACACAAAGAAATAGTAGAATAAAAATCAGAAGTTCAAAAGATCAACATTTGTGTGGCAAACAATTACATCACTTAAAGCGTGTCATTTGAATATGCAGAAGGAATGTTTGGAACAGAAATTTCAAACAGTGTTCAGATCCCAAGCTAACCATTTTGGAAGACAGCCCATGTTAACATGCCTTAATTTAAAATGCTGCATGCCTACCAACTGTTAAAAGTACATTGGTGTTGGCCAGACTTAAGGAAGAATTTATTCACAATATTCATTCTGCATAACATCGCAAAGCTGATACGAGTTCTACAAGTCTCAGATTATGATACAAACCTGTGTGCATTGGCTCTTTAACTGTTTTGCCTCTGTCTTTATCATAAATTGATAAAACAGGATTTAAATTATAAGCTCTCTGACCACGAGAAGTGTTTGAAATTGCCTTATCTGGAGCTACTTGCAGATTTTGCAATTTTTAGCTTGGACACTGAAAATGTGGAATGTTTTTCGGCACTAGTTAAATCCTGGTTTATAGAACATTAACTCATCTCCCTGTAATCTATACTTCCTTAATAGAGTTAAGTTTCTACCTTCACTAATCAAGATCTACAAAGAATTAGCCACAAGGTGTTGCCTGACTATTTATGAAGTGACATAGCACTTCTCTAGTTTGATGACTTCCATCATGACATTTTCACAGATTAAAAAAAAAAAATTATCAAAGTCTACGTTTGAAGAGGATATTTGCAGTAGCAGCATATACCATTTTAATTGGGTATAATATTGGCTTCATCTACTTAATGCATTTAGGAAGACATTAAGAAAAAACAGTCCTTGTAAACTACTTAAAATTCTTGTGATAAGCCTTTCCACAATGTAACTGAAAGCTAAGACAAATCTAAGCCAAAAGGACTTTATCTGAAACTAAATACAAGTCATTCAAACCAGGCATTTTATCAGTTTGAGTAGAATTAGAGACAGTCAAATCTAATCTTCTGGTTTTCTATTATTTATCAGAGAAAATGCGATTGAGTATGCCCAAATTCAAAGAACTAAAAGAGTTCATCCATGTATGGCATCTCAGGAAAGTCTTTTCCACACAAGGAAGCCTAATTTGATCAGTATACAAAGAATATAGAGCTTGGACAACATTCCCTTTGATACTGAGACATATCTATTCTAAGCATATAAGACTTCAAATATTAGAAAAGAATGAACAACCTGCTTTAGGGAACGCACCTGTATTACAGGATCCCAACAAAGTTCACCTTCTGTAGAGAACTGAAGTCACACCTGCAGCACTGAAAAGAGAACGTTGTCAGCTTTAGGAACCAGATCACATTTTGTAGCCATAGAAAACAATTTTTTTTCCCAATCATTTAGACTAACCAGACACTATAGTATTAATCCTCAAAATCGCAGTTACAATTTCATCTGTATTGGAACAGTACTATCCAGAACTGCTATCCTTCCCTTTCCTGTCTTGGGCCAATATTGTCCCATCATCAGATCACATATAACAAAATCACTTGGATAAATTTTCTTTGCATCACAGATGACATGTGATGTCATTCTCACAACCATTCTCCTTTAAACTCTCAGCTGTTTCCTTTTTTTGCTCCAATAACCATCACCTTTTCTTCACTTGCAAAATGTTTCCATAGTTCTGACCATCTATTCCACTTTCTTAATCCATCACACATCCTACCTGAGTTGTAATAAGCTTTTTTTTGTCATCAGCTTCTCATGCATTGAACATAAACATGTGTAAGTCAGTATCTCTGAAGCCATGTGTTCAACTTCTCAAACAGAGATTAGAATAGTACCAGCCTGCTAGAAAGTAGCGCACAACTGACCAAAAAATACTGTTGGAAGCTGTGACCTGCTTTCTAAACCAAAGCTTAGAAGCATAACATTTTTCTTTCTCCTCCTGAGCTATCATCCTGATTATCTGAGTTAACAGTAGCTACTTTTTTTCTGCACCCCAGAATTTTCCTCATCATTAAAATTTCTTAAAACACCTGCAAGAGCAATCAAAAGACTGGAAGTTATTAATAAACTTCTGCACATCAAACAATGCAGATGTAGCACTTGATACTGGACGCTACACTAAATTTCAGTTTCCTAAAGATTTAGAGAAGCCACACCATTTCCATGTGCTTCATGATCCTTACCACAGGTCTTTAAAAATTTAATGCCCTGAGTATCTTTTTATTTTTCAGCATTCTGACATTACAGCTCAAATGAAACATCCAAAGCAGCAACAACAAAAAAATCAGTTCAGACTCACTAAGAACTGATATTATAAATCAATTTCTTGGGGACATCATAAGACACTCACCTTAATGAATGTACTAATCGCGATCTTTCCAAATCTGAAAGTGTCATCAATATCTTTCTATTTAAAAAAAGAAAACAAAACCACACCAAGTTTTATAAGGAAGATAAAAAAATTATTTATGAAACAGAAATCAAGTCCATTTAATAATGCAATACAAATCCAACCATGTAAAATACATATTCCACAGATGAAGAACAGCTACAAAGACTACAAATACATGAGAGGAAATGCAAGAATTTTACTGACAAAAATATTTACTATTATTGCAACCTAATTTCTAAATTGGTTCCTTGAGCAATGCACAGAATAACTATTCACTGAATTCTGTTCCTTTTATAAATGTAAGAAACCCCCCAAAATTCCATCTCCATTATCTTCATTTATTGTTAGAACACTTAGACAATACAGAGATCAACACAGCGTACTTCAAAATCAACCATTCACTCATCTGAGAACATCCAAGCAAAAGAATGAGCATTATTAGTATAAAATTTGGGATCACATATTAAAATTCAAGTCATGTTTCTTCTTCCACAGATTACAATCTTAAAACATTTCACCACTAAAATACAAATTCCAAATTAGCCTTAGCAGGTGAAAAACTTTTCAGAGAGCTAATTCAACTGAGTGAAAGTATTGACATCATGACCAAGACTAGTTTCATATTCCGAAACACAAGTATGCATTCTTAAAGCAAAAGGTGTTGTCAGCTTACTAAAAAACTTATGCTTTTACTTATCTCTGTTTAAAAAAAAAAAAAAAAAAAATCATAGAAAGAAGCTTCCTTAGCTTAGTCCCAGAGGGCCAAACAGGAAAAAAATAAATCCTTCAGTCCTCAAATGATGGTTCCTAAATGGACCTAAGTTTATATCACCAGTCACTTCTATTCCTGAAGCATCCACAGCACCACCATTATTTAGTTTGCTTCCCGTTTTAGACTGGTTTTGTTGTTTTTAAAGCTGCCTATTCTCCCCATGGAGTAACTAATAGCAAAAAGTTCACCTGAGGTAACAGGACAAAGTCAGCTCATTTTTTCTATGAACAGCACGGTACCAGCACACTGTTGAACTTATCGAGTTCACCTCAGGGAGGGTCAATCTCAACTATGCGGTGCTGACCAACCTGGGCCAGCGCCGATTCATCGCTTGCTTTGCTGTAACTGTAAGAAACCAAGTACCAAAGTAAATCTCACCGTCTCCCCCGCCAAAAAGCGGTCGGAGCCACTCCTCCATCAGCTAGCAGGAATTATTCTCTTTTCTGCCAGACCAGAAGCAAAGCTTATTTCATCCTTTCAGGTAATTACTCCTTGTTCTGTTAAGCCCACCACCTGTGCTCAAGTATCCACAGTGGATCTGGACTGATCACCCCCAAGAGCCAACAGAAAATGTCTCTCTCAAGTTTATTCCTTCACCTTGAATAGTAAGCCATGGCCCAGAGCTAAGTTTAATTGCCAACAGGTTGGGCATTTTCCATGAAGAAAAGAAAGTGAGCACAGACATACACCCCGACAGACAAGATTGCTGCAGCCTGTGCCAAGACATCTCGTGAAGAAGCTAAACAGAGTCTCCTTCACCTGCCCCATGCTAATTTCTAGCGATCCTTCCTTCCAGTCTTACAATAGGTATCACCTTAAAGGTGAACTAAAATTCTTTGTATTAAGTGTGAATTTAAAAATACATTTGATTTTCTTTGTAAGCAGAAAACACTATTCTCTTTCTGAGTGGAACTGGAGAAATTATTAAGCAGGAGATCAGTAATCAGAACTCTAATATTTGCATACATCAACTCTTGTCCTTTTTGAACAAAGTAACAAAAATGACACATTTGAGGAAGTGTTGTCACAGAAAGGAGGGGAAAATTATCACATCCCACCATGCAGTCATATATTTTACCTTTATTATAGGCAAAACTAGATCTAAAGTATCTACAACAACATATTTCAACTTTAATATTTGTTGACATCTCTATCAAGCAGTATATTTGAACACCTACTGCTCCCCTCCCTTAAAAAAAAAAAAAAAGGGCAGAATTTCACCATGGGGCATTGTACTTACAGAATTTCCAGGCTAATGCTGCTCTTTAGACATTGCTGCAGTTCATACCCAATTAAAGATTTCAGTCAGAATAAAAGTCCCGTTCTGGTAGACTCTATGCTAAATAAATTCTCTGACAATTACTAATACGGCCCCCACCGCATCAGTAATACACTCCACAATTTGTGGCAACCTAACAAACACAATGTACTTGTCCTAGGAGTTGGCTATCTTAGTATCAAGAAATAAGAGCTTGAGTCACAGAAGAACCCATGGTAGAGATGTAATTGATATCAAAGTGCTTTATATACCGAATACCTTTGTACAATTAAAGAAATTAAGAAGCATAAAAGTACATGTAGAAGTCAAGCACAAAACCCACACTAAGATACAAAAGCTGCAAGGAATAAGGAGGATAGGAAGCAAAGCCAACAAAAAAGGAGAAGTACTGGACATCCTCACCACTTCATCACCTTGTCTCCCTAAGCTTCAATTATGAAAAATTACAGGTGTTACTTAACAGTGAAGTGCCTCTGTTTTAGGATAGGATGTTTGAAAGGCAGTACAGCTTTGGTCCTACTTTTAAAAAGCCAGTTCTACTTTTAAAAACCATCTATACAAGGAAATCTCTAACTATTCTATCTGTAAGAAAAAAAAAAATCAAGTATTAAGAATTACCACAGTACACTCACAAACAGCCAGAAGCAAAACCCCAAAGTTTTTCCCAAACATTTTGACATACAAATGAGCTCTCTTCCCCACTATCACATCTTTTCACGATGAACACTGGTACCGCTTGCACCAAACTTCTGCAGCCTGCTCCCACAATGTGCGGAACAACCTCATTCTCTTGTCCCAAGAAATGTGCTGTGTATTTCAGACCACTTGTCATGCAAACAGAGTGTTGAGTCTTTACCCCTTCAGCACCCCCAATAAAGTTTTGCTTTCTATTGGGAGAAAATGAAGGAAAAAGGGAAATCATAATCCATGATTATATATCTCAAGGAAGGTAAATTAGCCTTACTTCTTATTATGTCCTACAAGCAAAGTTGTCTAAATCAGACTACCAAAAAAAGTCAGAGAAATCAGAAGGGTCCTCTAGGACTACCACACAGTACTTCAGCAGCAGCTGAGAACATCTGTACAAAAACTTTTCTTGACCTTACAATAGCTTTCACACACCCACAAAAATCTCATAACCTCACTTGCATACGTGGATAAGCAGGGAAAATATGCTCTTCAGAAACACTGCCTGGCAACTTGCATGAAACTTAGTACTCTACTGCTGTCTCTCAGGAACTCTTCAAGAAGGAGAGAGCACCAAGTAAGAGGACTTTGTAGTGGATTGGTAGGAGTCCAGTGCAGGCATTCAGACATAAAGACCCTATCTACACTTAAAGGATAACCTTAGAAATACAAACCAGAGGCACAGAAGCCTGATCTGCCCATGTACCAGCATTGCTGGCAGGCAGAGTACTAGCAGGCTGCAACAAGCATGTCTGGTGATCTACTAAGCCACCTACTAGAGTACCAGATCACTGTGGGTATGCTCAGACATGTGGACTGCCACGTGTTCAGGTGCTTTTCTACTACATATGGTTGCTAGTTCACTGTCAGCATGAACAGAACATGCTCTAAAGAGTAGCTTCAGAACCTCTCCACAGCCTTTGCAGACATAGCCAAACCACCTGATCCTCCTTCATTTTGGTCTTCTCTGCCATACTGTATTTCACAAAAGTGGCCTGGGGCCACGAGAAAGCCCAGCAACAGATCACAAAACCATTAGCCCATGAAGTGTGTTTTTGCCTGCCACCTTCTCTTTTCCCATGCCCTTTAAACATACTTCACAGAAGGATGTATCTCACCTGTAGCTAAAAAGAACAAACCCCCCCAAAACCCTCCATGTGCCAGAAGGTGGAGTTGTTCTTTACTTGCCAACAACTAGGCTTGCCTTACTACCAACAATGCATGCTGCATTAAGAACTTGGCGCCCACCATAGCAGTGGTTAAGGCAGCAGTTAAAGCAGGAGAGGGTACAGGCACCTCTACAGAGTACACAAAACAGCAGCAGCATTACTTTCATGACCACCATTTTCTGCACCTAACCTCATCCGTACCCAAAAATGCAAGTCGAAGCCCTTCAGAGGAATAAAACTATATCACAAAGACTAATACAGATATAAATTGACCCATTTGCTGTTCAGTGCTTGACAAGCTAGGTTAACATAATTATTCGAGCAGTTTAAAACTTGCAGAAGAGTGATAACACTGGATGTGGAAAGTATGAATGCAGCAAGACAACGCAGTTAAAAACCTCTGTAATCCACCATCCTCATACAGGAATTCTAGGCCATGCAACCAAAACTGGAAACAAAAATTCCTTTTAAGAAACTCCTGATTATCTAGTAATTATGATGTGGTAATGTTATGAGTATAATACAGTGTCTACAGGACATTCATGCCAAGTATTACACAACACCTTGCTAAGAACATGATGTTCCCTTTTAACATAGGCCAACCATAGCAACCCTATATAAAACATTACAGTTGATCTAGACTAGTGATAATTTACTTGTTCTACTGGCTTAGTGGTAATCTACTTGCTTTTAAACCACACCAAATATACCTCATCCCACAGTAACTTGCTCACATGCTTATACTCTAAGGGGTTAAAAAAGCTTTTGTGCAGTAAAGCACATTTTAATATTATAAAGATGTTAGAGAAATAAGGGTGTGGCAAGAACCCAGGAAAAAGAAAATTGGTTTATTGGTCTGTATCTAAACCAAACACTTCCTGGTCATAGTAAAGCCTGGGGTAGAAGAAAAATCCAGAAGTCTACTTCAAATCAGTTTCCATATTTCACTCTATTCTCATCTTATGGCTAAACTCCATCAAAATCTCAGTTTACTCAAAAAATGCAATTCTTCACACGGAATTTTTTTTTTTTCTATAAAAATGTTTTGTCCAGGGACAGGCTGAAGTAAGTTTCTTTGATAAGCTGAGTTGTTACATATTTTAATCT